TCCTAAGTGGAGAAATTTTAGATCTGTGCTATCCAGTATGAAGGTCACTAGCGACATATGGCTATTTACATTAAAAATAATTAAAATTACAATTATTTTCCTCAAGTGCTCAATAGACTTGCAATAGCTACCATACTGGACAGGGCAGATAAAAAAATTTCCAACATGTAGGAAGGTCAATTGAGAGTGTGGCTCCAGACGATGCCAAGTTCTAAGGAATACCTAGGAGTGTGAGTTGCTGAAGACAATGGAGACAAGAGCCACTGAGGAGGAATCAGGAAGGCAGGATATTGGACAAGTTTTTCATAGAGATGTTCAATTCAGCCTGTGGCAGGAGTTGCAATGGAGAAGATATGAGCTAGAGTACACTGACATCCTCAGTGAATATAGTGTGTGTGACCAGGTAGATGAACACATAAACCTTGTTGGGAGTTGTAATGTGCTTCCTGTGTATATTAAACCCTCCAGGCCTATCATAGTGTCCTTCACTTCTGAAGCATGTTTGACTGACTCATTCCAGACCCTACCCCAAAGTGATATTTCAGATCCCACTTAAGCCTCTTCAGAACCACTCTCTTGGTTAAAAAAAAATTACCTCTTCTGAAACTATCAAGTTGCTTCAGCCAACTCAATACTGTGGGATGGAAAAGAAGCCTGCTGAGTTAACTCTATGTGGTCAGGTTAACTAGATAGCTAATAATGCATCTATGGGCATAGCTATAGCTTCATAAGGAAAATGTAACAGAGATTATCTGTACCAGAATATATGAAAAAAGAAATATTTTTATTAAAGAGCATAGGTAGTTTGTGTATTGTTGAATTTATTAAACACACTTGTTATAATTTAAGACTTACACATAAATTTTTTATGATTAAGTCAAGACGGATGTCTATCAATGTAGAAATGTGGTATAGCTTTTTATGTTGGCTATTCATGGCTAAAAATATCACACATCACCCAAAACAATTTCCAGTAGCATCATGCTACTTGCCACTACCACATCCCCACTTTCCTTTTCTTAAGAGTTGCCAGCTCTGAGCTACAAACAGACAGTAATCCTTCCTACTAACAAATCATGAGTGAGCACAAATTCTTCTACCCCTCAAGCCAGTGTATTGCTGTGAAATAAGAAGGGGAGAAAGGTTTACCATTTTGGAAAGTTGTTAACATCTTGTTTAGGTGAGTAAATGAGGAATCTCTCTATAACTTAATTATAAACTGGAATAAGCTCAGTCCCTCTTTTCCCCTGTCACCAATGCTAATCCCTCTTAAATTTATTCATTCTTGTTAATATGTGTACTTTTACTCCTACTTTTTTTTAAGAACTAGGGAATAGCTGTGTGCTATAGTCCTGTTTCTTATTTTTCAATAGGCAATACATTTTTAGTCTTTGTTGAATCTGCTAGGTTGAATAGTTATTTGTGAATAATGGGCTCTTCCACAGCAATATACAGCAGAAAATTCCTTTTGACAAGCCATAGCAAGCTTAATTGAATCATAACGTATTCCATCAAATAGCTTCCAGGGAGGAAAATAGTCCTTTTCCTAAGGTAGCATATGCTTTCGCACAATTTCAACATGACTGTATGGTCTCACATGATTGAGGAAATTCATTTATGAAAAGTTACAGAAAGGTATGGAGTTAATATTTGATTGAGCTAATTAAATTTTAAGGAGGTATATACTCTAGTCTCAGAGGGAAGGTGGGGGGAGGAGGAAGGGGACGAGGTGTGAGTGGGTAGGTCGGGGGAAATCAACCAGTGAACTTATATGCATAAAGCATGGACACAGACAATGGGATGGTGAAGATCTGGTGCGGGGGGCGGAGGTGGGCTAGAACGGGTACATGGAGGAAACAGAAGGCATATGTAATACTTTCAACAATAAAGGTTTTAAAAAATAAATAAATTAAGAAGTATACACTCTAGGCTTTCTTCCTCCCTAGATTTAATGAAACCTATTTCTTAAAAACCTTACTACTGAATTACAGATCAATTTTACATTTTTTTTACTCTATTGTTTTCCTAGTGAGAATCCCAAATCAATTCTTTTTTTATTTTAAATGTCATACAATAATATGAATAGAAACTATTCTATCAATTTATTGAAGTAACTGGTTAATAACATATAAATTTCAGGTATAAAAATGTAAATTGATACAGCCACTATGGAAAACAGTATGAAAGTTCCTTTAAAAATTAAAAGTATAACTAACATATAATCTAGCAATTCCTCTACTGGGTAGAAAAATATGAAAACATCCCCTTGTAAAAACAGTATTTCTGATTCACACTCAATGACTTTGAAGCCTGAAGCCACTTCAAATTATGATATTACTTTTAATGTTTTCAGGACAGATGTTGTTAGGGCTTTTGGAACAAAAAGTAGATTATCAGCAGATATTAGTTAACTTATGAACTTTCATCTGAATACCCTTCAGATACCCATGGGACCTGGGTGATATTATAGCTCAATGTCAGCCAGAATTCCATCAATCATGGGCACCATCCTTTCTTCCCTCCACAATGCAACAATAAGGCAAGGAAAGAGAGACTATAAACCATTTATGTGAACCATATAAATGGGTTGAAAGTAAAATGTGCTGTTCTATTTGTCCCCAAAGTCAAATTTACCTAGCATATAATACAAGTAGCCCATTCAATTGCATCAAAAGACTTCCAGGTATCTAATAAAAGTGTTGCTATTGGTTCCAATTTCTTCTTTGTATTCCAGATGAGTTACATTAGCCTATGCAGATTATCTGATGCTTATCTCCCAAGATACAGCCTAGTTGGATAAGGGCCTATTAGATTTGCAACAATTTTATTTAGTTGCATAGCCAGTGGTCTGGTCTCTATTATTTTATGTCTACTCATCCTGTATAAAAGGATATTTTTCACAATACTGCTGAGGGGATAACATGCAATCTTGAGCATAAGGCTAGATGGATATATATAATTGGATAAAAGGACTGCAGACTGCCTTGATTCCAAACCACAGATAGTATCTGATGCTTTAAAAATTCAGTACACACCATTTAAATGCATTACATTTATTCATAGTCTATTTCTGAAACTAGTGGCTGTTCAGTGTGCTGATGGCAGAGAGAAGTTAATGTGTTGGTAAGCAACCTAAATTTTTATAAAGCTATTTTGAAAGTAACTCAATGCCACTGAAAGTAGTATCAATTACTCCTTGCTTTTCAATTGACATTGCAAGGCTGCTCCAAATTTCTATTCTTCAGTTCAGCATCTGCAAAGAAAAGGAAGGCACAGAGTATGTCCTTGGGATATTTCTGGGTATGACAATCACAAGAAGTACTTCTTTAGAACACACCCTAAAATATTTGGGGTAAAAAAAAAACCCAAATATTGACTCACCCTAGATGCCCTGTGGATAGGGAATTGCTGTAGAAAACTGAGCAATGGAGAATAAGGGTAAAGCCAGCGGGTGACCCTGAGGGTTCTTATAACCTACTAGAGGCCCTGAGCACAAAATCGTGTGGGTAGGAGTCCCTAGCTCAGGCAGGGCAGTTCCTCAGGCTGGGATCTCTGGCTCATCCATTGTACATCATCCTGGCTTGCAGTAACACTGTTTCTTGCTGTACAAACTTCTGGAGATTATTAGGGGGACCAGGGGGTTTGAGTGAACGAACATCCCAGATTTTGAGAATCCAAATCTTCAGAGGGGAAGAGATCAACCGAAGGACTTGTATACATGTATATAAGCCAAACCAATGGACATGGACAACAGGGGGATGGGAGCATGAGGGGGGGGGGGGGCGGGGGAGGTGGGGGGTTAATGGGGGGGATGAGGACACATTTGTAATACGTTAACTAATAATAATAATAAAAAAAGAAAAAAGAAAAAAAATCATGTGGGTAGGGTCCCTAGGCCTAGCCTGCGATCAGGGCCATCTTCTGCCCGTTCGCCAGTCCCCAAGCCGAATGCTGCCTCCTCCCCCGGGGCAGGTAGGTCGCAGGTGTGCCCCGCAGCTTCTGTCAGCGCTGCAAGCCCCAGCAGCAGCAGCAGCAGCAGCAGCAGCGCCCATGTGAGCAGCCCAAAGCGGGCAGCGCATTCCATCAGCAGCCAGCCCAGCGCACAGGCATGGAGGTGAAGTCGCCAGTGCCTGCTTTTCCGCTGGCCTGAGCCCCCGAGCAGCTGGGGATGAGCTGGGGATCCCAACTGCCTCACAGCCAGCCTGGTCCTCCCACCACCCACCCCGGTTCCCCAGTTCACCATCACTGATCTATTGGAGCCTACAGGCCAGGGGGAGGTCAGCTGTTCTGCCCGCTAGCCAGTCCCCAGTCCCACCCCGCCGCCACCCACTTCCCCATGGTTCCTCCTTTGCCTGCAGGCAGAGGTGGGAGGATGGGGGAGGTGGGGGAGGGGAGGGACTGAGAGGTGGTCAATGCACCTCATGGCGACTGGTCGAGCGGTCCTTCAGGTCGTTCTGCTTATGGTCCCTGGCCTTTTATTATATAGGATATCCTGAGAGACAGCATAGTGCAGAGAGGGACAAGGGCCTGGCCTTTGGAGCTAGTTTTAATCTTGGACCCAAGTATAGTACTGAGCTTGGTTTTCTCATCTACAAAAGGTAGTTACAATACTCACTCCTGAAACTGTTTAAAAGATCAAAAAAGCTATCTATCTTTTTTTAAAGTTATATGTATATATAACAATCAAATATTTAATGGTCAATAGATAAATGTCAGCTGTTTCATTATAATGATTGTTAATAATAAAGTGAGATATTTTATACACATATATAGTTGCATTTTTAAAGTACTCATAGGAAGGTCTAATCCAGTGGCACACTGAGTACTCAGAACAGGCTTCATGGCATTGTGTTGGGGAAATAATGACATTCAATGAAGTGCACTGTGAGAATTTACTTTGTGATTAACCTACTCAGAATGAATGCACTTCTTAAACCTACAGTATCTAAAGGCAGGATTTCATATTGAAAAAAATTAATGAGCACACACATACAAACAAATACCTTTTTCCATTATCATTAATCTTCTTTATTATCCCGGTATATCTGATTGAGTCTAAGAGATCCAGCTTTTCTTTAAATATATTGATTAGATATAAAGAAAAAAATGGTTGTGCTCGCTTCAGCAGCACATATACTAAAATTGGAATGATACAGAGAAGATTAGCATGGCCCCTGTGCAAGGATGACATGCAAATTCATGAAGCATTCTAAAAAAATAAAAAGGTTAATGGAATGAAGGTATAAAATAAACATTCTTCCTCAGACTTCCCAGTTTCAGTAACCCAGTTATATATGCTTGCAAAACAAAAAAAGCTAATAGGTAAATAGTCTATTTATACGCACAGAATAGAATAAACAATCCAAAAAGCTTCAACTTCAGCAGAATTTTATATTTATACTAGAGGCCCAGTGCATGAAATTCGTGCATGAGTAGGGTCCCTAGCAGCTTCCGGAAGCCGGCCGGGGCCTCCCTTCTCCTGCCCCTAGCTGCCTGCCACTGCTACCAGCCAGGGCCTTCCCTCAATTGGCTGGCCAGCCCCGCCCCCTGGTCGAACTCTGGGTTGAACTCCGGGCTAACTCTCAGTCAAGGGGACAATTTGCATATTAGGCTTTTATTATATAGAATAGTCAGAGTTTTTTTTTTAAATGCTTATTTCCAAAATGATATAATCTTTTGAAGTGTGCATACTTTTTCTTAACAGTTGGAAAAATATGTTTGGACTCTAAGTGAAGCAATTTCTAGAGAAAACACATGATCCACCCTGAAACTAAAACTCTAAGTACATATACAGAAATGTGTACAACATTCCCAAGATATATGTAAACAGGGAGAGCCACTTAGTAAATGTATTGGGTTTTAGTAATAATATAATCCACTCTCATTAGGCATCTCCCTCTTGTGCATTAACATGTGACATCATACTCTCACATAACATTTCATAACAGAGTGAAATAAAAAGCCCCTCCAGATTGCAACTCTAAGATAATCAGATTCTGTGGTGCTCATTATAACTGCAATTATGTAACAAAACTCTCCGAATATAGTTCCAGTTATTGCAGTTATTAATCATTCTGGTTTTGTTTCAAGCACTTGCTTTATAGTCTGCTGGATAGACTCCATTATTCTACTAGCTGAATGTCAAATGTCAAACATGTGCATGTGAATCTGCTCTTCTAATGGCCTTTCAACATAATTCCCCCTTTCAATTTGTATTTGTGAATACAAAAATCGTGCAGAAATAAAGCTGATGTCAGTAGAGTCACTGACCTTTGCAGTAAACAGAAGACAGTCCTTAACAAAAAACAACTTAGCAAGTAGGAAACATATTTTGCTAGAACTAGAAATAGAGCTGCTTAAGAAGTTAGTCTCAGAATACCAATCAGTTCTTAAGAAAAAGGGGGAGGAAAACTCTCAAAGAATCTGTATATTTGATAAGGAGACAAATCCTAAGAGGGCCAGCAAATGTGCATTTTTAAAGGTTCAAAGTACCAACCTCATGGATAGGATGTACTTCCAAACATCCTATGCACAAAACCATGTAGATTAATTTAACTACAAAATGCCAAGTAAAAGACAGCAATTTTATTATACAGAACAAACACCATCTGCACCACCTTAAATCACTGCTGTAGATGTATTTCTAGGAAAAGTATACACCTGTAAAATTCTCAAGCCTAAACTCTGAGATGCTAGAGTATTAACTAGCATCCAAAACTAGCATCCTGGATTCCAAAACAGATCCAGGGAAACTGACTCCATAATTATTTAAATGTTCACATGTAGAAAGCCCAGAAAAAATAAATACAATAGTACACGGACACAGTTTCCAAAGTGCACATCACCAAGTTCATACAGTCCACGATTTTTTCAGTTTGGCTACGTACATTGGGCCCCACGCTTTGCCCTTTTCTGGAATCACCAAAAGTCCACACTCCTGGCCAGTGGGCACAAATGCGAAGTCTTGGGAGCAAGTCCTTGCCATTTCCTCTATGTTCACAGGCATGATATTACTGCAGGAATTTAAAATTTCACTGATCACATCCTGATTTTCTGCTTTGGAAAGTGTGCATGTAGAGTACACAAGTAACCCTCCAGGACGCAACGCCTTAATTGCAGACCTGCATGTAATCAGGAAAATGCATTAGATTGGTTAGGTACATTAAAAACAAGCTACGGCATTTGAGGGCAAGGAAACTTACATACTTGAAACTTTTTTGCAATCTTGACTCAGACTGCAATAACTCTGGATGTTTTCTAGCCACACAACTATTTCTCTCTAACTAGGTGACTAGGAAAATGGTAATCAAATTAATCAACATGGGAAAGACAGAGTGTATTTGATTTGTTGGCTGTTGATCTTTTAAGGATAAGAGGATGGGGGTAGAACATGATGAAAAAATAGGTTTATCTTTGACTATATTGAGTGGTATGTATGGGTAGGTGGAACAGAGCAGCTGACCTTCAGTAAAGAGATTAGGGCTCAGTGACAGATGAAGTCATGGGAATAAGTAAGATTTCCCAGGAAAAGAGCAAGAAAAACAAAAGTGGACTAAAGACAGACCCTGAGAGAATGCCTATTTAAAGGGAGGCAGAAATTAAAAAAGAAATTAAGACTTCACTAGATGAAAGAGTAGCTTCAGGGAAAAGATAGGAAGAAAGATTTATCTGTCTGTCTGTTTGTTTGAAAGAGAAGACTTACAAATATTTGTAAATGTAGATCCAAGAGAAGAGCAGTCCCAAGTTTCAGACTACAAATGGAGAAGTTAGTTTTTGAAAAGATAGGGTTCAACTCTTCATGAAAAACAGGATGGGAGCATGGATAGGAAACCAGGATGTTTTAAGGTAACAAAAGTTCATGATAGGCTGGCTGGTGTGGCTTAGTGGCTGAACTTCAACCCATGCACCAGGAGGTTGCCAGTTCGGTTCCCCGTCGGGGCACATGCCCAGGTTGCGAGTTCCATCCCTGGAGGCAGCCCATTGATGTTGATGTTTCTATCTCTCTCAAATAAAAACAAAACAAAACAAAAAACCACATTTTTTTCTTAAAGAAAGTTCATGATAGCCTCAATAAGAAGAGTAGAGTGAGAGGCAAGGTGATCTACTGAAACATAAAACTAAAAAAGTTTTAATCTTGATGCTATAGTGATAACCCCAGAGCAATTACTAATCAGTAACTTAAAAAAAAATCATGTTCCACAACCTCTACTGGATTTGAGTCCAGTCAGCTCCATGTCTCACAACTATATTTAAACAATTAGAGCGCATCCCCAATAATTGAGATTTAACAGTAAAGATCTACATGGCAGAAGGACATTTGCAGATGTGATAAAATTAAGGCTCTTAAGATAGAAAGATTCTGGATTATCTGAGTGGGCCTAACGTTTTCACAAAAATATTTACAAATGGAAAAGAGAAGTAAGAAAGTCAGAGAAAGAAAGGCGATAACTGGTGCTAAGGATGGAATGGCAGGATTGCTGGCTAAAGGCCAGTAGCCAAAGAGTGCAGGCTGTTGCTAGAAGTTGGAAAAGGTAAGGAAATGATTATCAACTGACTTTACCTGTGTGGTCAGTTCAGGCTACTATAACAAAGACACCATAGACTAGGTGGTTTAAACAATAAACATCTACTCCTCACAGTTCTGGAGGTTGGAAAGTCCAAGATCAAGGTCCTGGTAGGTTTGATATCTGGTGGAGACCTGTCCTCACATGGTGAAGGGGAGAGGGAGCTCTCTCTGGTCTCTTTTATAAGGGCACTAATCCCACTCATGAGGGCTCCACCTTCATAACCTGATCACCTCCCAAAGTCCCCATTAACTAATACCATCACCTTCGGGATTAGAGTTCCACATATAAATCTGGGGAGGACACAAACATTCTGTATATTGCATCCCCTACAGCTTCCAGAAGGAACACAGCTCTGTCACACCTTGATTTTAAAGTTTTGACCTCTAGAAGTATAAGATAATACATATGTATTATTTTAAGCCATTAAAATTGTGGTAATTTGTTATAGCAGCAATAAGAAACACATACACACTCGGTGATGTGGTGGGTTTTTTTAAATAATAATATACTAAGGCATCAGTATATTTTGCTACAATTGTATAAGTTACAGCTACACTCAGTTTGGATCACTTTCAACTGACTACAGCAATGGACAAAAGACTTTCTTTTAAAAAGTTAGAGTATTGTGCAAGGGATATAGGCAGATATGAATACAGATATCTGAAACTTATAGTAAAAAGACTTTTTTTATCCTACTTTCACAATTAGCAAAGCCAGTCCTTAATCAAGTAAGTATAATTCTTTCTCATTACAGTTGTACAAAAGTATACAGAAGCCTCATCATTCACAAACAATAAGTTTCTGGCTTGATGCAAATTTAAATTAATTTCTATAATGTTGCCAATGTTGGCTAATTCTTCTGCTTTGTTTTCATTCCAACATTCATAATTTATCTTTCTAAAATTAGGTTGGTATAACTTAACTGGTCTCATTAATTTCTAAACAAGGAAAGGCTTTTTTATAAATTGGGTTAATCTCAACACCCTACGACAGGGGTGGGCAACCTTTTTGTGAGTGCATGCCAAAACCAGTAAAATCTCTGAGTCAAAATTCTTCTGCGTGCCAACCCTAATTTTTTGAGAACATGTTACGCCTACTTGATATCTCTTACAGTGTACGTATGTGAAGAACTTTGAAGAAATAATAAAATTCATTTGAGCAACAAAAACACAGTATAGTATATGATGATGAAAAATAGATTTATTTTTTAATGTATACATGTACACTGATAGTCCGACAGAAAACTTTATGACTCTGTTTGATATTATCAGTGGGACTTTTGCTGCTGCATCACTGATGACAGAGATTTTACATCAGGTTTATAGTTCGTGACCTTCAGAGATATGCACGAGCTACTACTTTCATCCGTCAGGCTACTCCTATTACGAGACTTAACAAAATTCATCACTGAGAACAAAGATTCACAAGTGTATGTGGATGAAACCAAAACACTGGTCGGATCTAGGAAGGCAAGGAGAGTTAAGGCAGAGGCATAGAAATTGCTCTTCCCCTCTCTCGTCAATCCATGTCTATGGTCTTTAAGATAACTTTTTATGTAAAATTATTTATTTATCTAAGATGCACCTACACTGAATTTATCTGAAAAATAAAAAAGTCGATATTAAGAAAAAAATGTAAATGGAAGATTATAAGAGAGGGTTTCGCATGCCAGCAAAAGTTACTGGCGTGCCATGTTTGGCACGTGTGCCAGGGGTTGCCCACCCCTGCCCTAGGGCAAATGTTAGGAATTCCTGTCAAATGGTTGTTGCTGTTTTGCTGTTCATGACTGTTCTTTAAATACCATTTCTATTCTTTTGCTGGTAGTAGTTATACATTTTAAAAATACCATAATTTGTATTCAAAGATCAAGGAAAATAGGCAATGTGGGGGGAAAAAATCACTTCCAGGATTCATATAACCAAGACTTTTCTATACTAAGAAATATGTTATGCCATAGAAGGCATTTTTCTCATGAATTGAACCAGCTCATACTGAGGTTACACTGGTTCTGCAGAAAGTGTAAATCTATCTCTACATTAGCATTTATAAATACACATAAGAATTCCTTTGCTTTTGATGCATAAATGGCACTAAGTACTCAATTTTAATTAAGACTAGAGTATTAACCACTCTACAATCAAATGATTTAAAACCAATACTTTTGGTATTTCAATAAAAATCAAATGATAGAAAAACTGCTGATGATAGAAAGACCAGCTGCACTGAAATGCCAATCCATCAATGGAGACCACAACTGAAAGGACACACATGAAAAACTGCTGAATATTCTATTGAGATCTTCCCTAGGACCTCCCCTAGAATCTCCACCCTTAAACCCTTAGGAAGGAGGACCCAGTGCGCTCTAACTCCTGGGAGCATGCCCCTGTCTTTTCCTACCCTTCCTCTCCCCCACCCCCAAGGCCTCTTACCATTAGCTTCCTCACTTCCAAGCTCCAAGGGCCCTTCCTTTACCTCCATAATGGCTCTTTCCTAAGCCCATTTCTTCTAGGAAGTAATTTTTCTACTTCTATAATTTATCCAATAAATGTTCTCTTACAAAAAAAAGGAGATAAATGTAGTATGTGTTTTACAATATATTAAATGAAAATTAACACATGCCTAAAATATAAATACCTAAATATATAGTATTTTGCCCACTACAGTAGTGCCTAGGATAAATCATCTGTTCCCATAACAATTCACACATGTTTTGAAACAGTCCATCAGATTCTAGTAACTGTTATTACAGGTTTCATCCAAATCATAAAAAGAAGACTGTATATGTATTTGCAAGACAGGCAGTAGGGTGTGAGAAAGATTGTGTTGCTCTGGAGAGAAATTATAAAAATGGAAGAAAGATACTACTTAGTAGTTCTTAACAAGCCCAGTAAGAAATTAAAAATTCTGGAAGGTGAAAAAAACATTTAGACGTTAGAGAGACTGGAGTAGCACTAATACACTGGCAAAGTTGTGGTAATGACCATTTAAAAAGGTAAGTCCGGATCACAGAAGAAAAATAAGACATGTTGGATCTGGGTTCTGATAGCAAAGAAGGCAGAGAGTTCTCAATGTTTGTGTCAATTTCTGTGCCATGCAAAGTTATTCTTATGTTTGTTTGTTTTTAAATAAGAGGAAGAAAAACCAAACAACTAAGCAACATCCATTTTGGCATAATGCTATCTTCTGCCAATCTCCAAATGAGCCGTGCCCCCTGATTTCTTAATGGCTGTAAGTTTTATGGCTTAAGAAGATCCTGAGTAATGGATTATTTTTCACCTGTGCTACACCACTAACTATATTGCATGAAATTACTAAATAACAAGTTGTATTATGATTGGAATTATTTACCATTGAATTATGAGTGATGGTCAGCAGAGCTTTGTAATCATACAAAAAATGTCATGACTAACTACAATAGATGAACCAAAAGTATTATTCTGATCAGATTAGGGAGAAGGCAAACCTAATACTTTAAACAGAAATGGGAACTAGTAGCATCATCTTAGGTTTTAAAATATTATGTAAAATTCAATACACAATGTCCAACTGTAAAT